CCCTACAGAACCCATCTTCTTTAGATACTAATTCATTCTCCACCCTTCATCCTGATAAGTCATGTCAATTCATTTATCCCTCTGAATCAATATTTGCACTTCCAGTTTGCAGGTGACAGACAGATTGAGAGACACAGATAGAAACAGAAAGAGAGGGAGATGGCTCTATAGCTACTGCTGCCAAGCCAGATTTGGCTGCCAGAGCTCTGCCAGGGTCTCTTGTCTGAGGCTGCTTGTTTTCTGTTCTGCCTTTGTTTTGGGCCGACTGGCATCTCCATAGTAACAGCCAGAGAATGGCAAGTCTGGCTGCACTCGACGCTGCATGAAATGGAGTGGGTGCATGTAGTGCTCTTCAGATAGGCCTAAGATCAGAGGACGTTCAAGTGAAGGTATTTGCCTTTGGTCTTCACAGCGAGTGCCACAAATCGAATGCCAGTGAGTAAAAGGAAAGGTTTGTCAAAAGAAAGCACATGCCGACACATCTTTTGGTTCTTTTCAGAGTCAGAGTTAATGCACAAAGCAGAGATTTTGTACAGGGAAGGTGACAGTGGAGAAGGTGTATGATGGTGTGGAGAGAGCAGAGGATGAAAGTTAGAAGGGTGGGGCGGTAGTTGTGTGTTAAAAGGCCTGTGGTTTCATCTGTTATCTCCCCTACTGCCTTGTTACTGTAAGCCAGCTTTGAATGGGCCGAATTAGCGGCAGCCGTCCTCAGCTGAAAGAATAGCGGTGAGTCAGCCGCTTTATTGCGCGGACAGCGTTTCTTTCATGCCTCCCCTCTGGACCTCTGTTCTCCCACTGTCTTTCTGCCCATCCTCTGTTCTAAGGTTTACCCTAAAAGTTAGCAGGCCGAAATCCTGCCTGACTTCAGAGTTTGTTGCATCAGTTTCAATTGTTTCTAAAAGAAAATGTTACTTTTTCTTTAAAAACATGATAGGCTACTGGATCCTGCTGTTCACACTGTCTGCTAAATGCAAACAAAAAAGTCACTACCTTGTTAATTTTACTTGGATTATATAATGACGTTTTTAGCCGTTTTTGCAAGTGTTAATTCAACAGAAAACTTAATTTAAACTTCTTACCATGGGCTTCAGGAAGTGAATGATAAAGTGCTACATTTGTTGTTTCGCCATGGTCAACTTATGACATTTTTCAGACTGAGCTCTAGCCGATTCGGCTCAGCCTTCTTCTGAGCTGTTTTTTTTCAGCCTTAGATGTACTTAAGGATCTTTCAAGCTTTTAAGAAGTAGCTGTTTTTACTAGTTTTAGAATACATACACTGTTAACATTCCAGTGTTAATCATGACCTGCACTTTTGTATTTTTAAGCTTAAAGACTTGGCAAGTACATCTGATCCTGAAGCTGAACAGCTGATCATTCTTAGTTAGCCCTGCAGCTGAGCCTGACAAGTTGAGGCCTCTACTGCCACCACCAGGCTGATCTTTATATATTCCCCCATCATTACAGAGGGGCAGCCTCGTGAAGGACTCTAGACCTTTTTCTTTTTAATTAAGAAATTAAGCAAACGCTGCTAACAACAATGTGTTCCTGTCACTTATCTTCTAATCTCTGACTTGAACAATAATTATATTTCTATGATCTGTCTTTTGTGTATTTATTTTTTCTCTATCTTCTCCATCTTGTCTTGTTGACCTCATTCAACCTTCCCCATGTCGCTTCTCAACATTGTTCATTTGAGAAGAGAATATTAAAGTCTTCTATCACAGCTTGATTAGCTATTAGAAGCTGTTTAATTAGAAAGCTAGCTGACATTTAGAAATCCCCAGCCTCAGACAGTTTTGCCAAACTCTCAGGTGTAATACACACACATGCTCACTTCTGTTAAAACCTGGCTAGGAATGATATGAATATAATTCAACAAATGCTTTGGTGGCAGGCACTTTATAATAAAACCAGACTGGATCTGGGTGTCTCCTGAAGCAGCCAACAGCTCTGTCAACATTGGCTCGCCTAATTCGCACGCTCAGTGGGAGACCCCATCTCTTCCTGCAGGAGACCGCAAACATCAAGCTGATAACAGTCGCTTAAAGTGTGTGCTACTTCATTTCAAAAACACAAGAAAGCTAACAAAGTAGGGAAAAGCGCCCTTTCGTATATTAGAGTCAACCAATTATATCCAATTATTTAAATATGCTTGTGTGTGTGATTGTACGTTGATGCTACTGGGTGACCTTGTGATGCAAGTTAGTGGTAACACAACCTTAACCAGCAATCAAAGCAATTTTACGTGTACAAGTCAGCATACAGAGGCAGAGGATGCCATACAAGGTGCCACCTGCTCCAGGAAACTAACATTCACACACATTTACACATCATTGGCTGTGCCATTGGGAGCAATTGAAGTAAAATATCTTGCTCATGAAAACTTTGACATGCAGGGGCTGGGGTTTGAACCTCCAACCCTTCAATTTGTGGAAGTCCACTCTGCCTCCTGAGCAAGTGCTCAAAGTGTGTCTTTATGTGTGATGGACTGGATGAACTGGAACAGTTCCTCCTGCTACATTTAAGATACTATTACTCATTCATCTTCAACTTTTATATCCTTGTTAAGTCTTGCTTTTTTATACATTTTTCTCCTGAATTTCATTTAAAATTTCTGCCTCTGTACCTTCTGGTATGGAAAACGGTTGTCGGTTTTTGCGATTCCAATGTTTTTCAGGCACAAATAAAAATGTTAGGCACATGTCCAAGCTTAATGTTCATACACTAAAGGTTTTTGAGTCTCAGAGACTGTAACACAGTCACTGCTGATTTTGGCTCAGCTCAGGACTCCATTCCCAGCATTTATCATCCAAATGTCTCCAAACCTTCATCATTTGAGCCAGGGGGTATGGCTGCATGTGATGACATGTCTGGTATAGCTCTGGTTGAATTGTGGCTCTTTGGGATCACAGTACTTTGTCTCACCTTGGTGAAAAACACATTTCGGGGAAGAACTATGGCAGCATTCAAAGTCATTCCCACCCATTCAGGTTTCTGTCATGCTCTGCTGTCACAGTTTCGCTTTATCGCCACAGCGAATGTTGCCACTCTTGACTCATGACAACGAGACAAAGACCATTTAATAATGCCTTATTGCGAGAAATATGCAGTGTTATGAGGCTGCCTGTTGGAGCTGCGTGTCGGTGGTTGTGAGCGAGAAAATGAAAAGGAATTGAGGTGACAGTGTGTAGGTGCATATGAGGTAATATGTGATGGTGTGTTAATGCTTGTATGTGTGATTGTTTAGGGGTGACTCAGAGCAATAGCTCAATCAATCAATGTTTATTTATATAGCCCAATATCACAAATGTTACATTTGTCTCAGTGGACTTCACAGTTTATACAGAATATCAGTATGACAATACGACACCCCAGCTAGCGGGGAACGTTCTCACAACTTTGGCTAACGTTACCTATTGGTTCTAACAAGGTTTTAAAGAAACGTTTTAATCTGATGTTCAAAGAACCTTTTTAGGATGTTTATTTTTTTCAAATAATGTTCCTATAAGGTTTAAGGTTAACTAAGACATAACGTTTTAACTGCAACATTCAGAGGATGTTTTGAGGATGTTATTAAGGCCTGAGATGACAGAAAGGGTTGTATAAAATGTTCCCTCAATGTTACATGATAACAAATGAAGAACATTCTCCAAGAAACATTCTGAAAATGTTTTCAGGATGTTATTGAGGCCTGAGATGACAGAAAGTGTTTTATAAAATGTTCCTTTAATGTGATATGTTAACAAAGGTGGAACGTTTTGCCTGCAACATTCTAAGGACGTGTTTTGGACGTTGTTGGGTAACACATTAAAGATGTTCTTTATAAAACGTTCCCTCAATGTTACATGATAACAAATGAAGAACATTTTCAAAGCAACATTCTGAAAAATGTTTTCAGGAAGTTATTGAGGCCTGAGATGAGAGAAAGTGTTTTATAAAATGTTCCTTTAATGTGATATGTTAACAAAGGTGGAACGTTTTGCCTGCAACATTCTAAGGACGTGTTTTGGACGTTGTTGGGTAACACATTAAAGATGTTCTTTATAAAACGTTCCCTCAATGTTACATGATAACAAATGAAGAACATTTTCAAAGCAACATTCTGAAAAATGTTTTCAGGAAGTTATTGAGGCGAGGTGAAAAAAAGTGTTTTATAAAATGTTCCTTTAATGTGATATGTTAACTGTTAGAGAATAATTCTCCCTTACTCCTAGGTATCTAACCTTTTTGCCCTTTGACGTTTATGACCAACCCTGACGTCTGTTATCTGTCTTAAGGAATGGGAGGCCTCAGCTTATNGTATCTCCAACGAGGCGTTTTGGGGAGGTATTTTCTGTGTTAGAGTTTCACTCGCTACAGGGTGTACTTTGAGGGTTTTTGACTCTGCAGACCGTTTACATAAAAACCTTCATAACACAGAAGGGGACGGGTAATAACCAGAAGAGCATGACATGGGACCTTTAAGATGCGCCCCGTTGATATTACCTTCCAATATCAGGAAATAAATAAGATATATTTGTTGAGCCATTATCACAGTGAAGTTCACACTCTATTACCGGTTGAACCTGCGTCTTTCATGTTACCTAAAGAATCCTAGCAATAACTAGTCAAACATTCAACGCCTACACCTTCTGCTGTCGTTCTGAGATTCTGTCTCTGGGTATGTTTCATTTTCTCTTATATCTTATAATTTGTCTATCATTCCTTCCTTTTTCTACGGAAGAGGATTAGGGCCACATTAAAAAAAAATTGGGAGGATTTGAAAAATAAAATATTTTTTCTGACTTTTTTCTCAGAACAAAATAAAACGTGTGGCCCTAATCGTCTTCTGTACTTTTCCAACTTGTGATTTTCAGGTTATTTCTTTACTTATACTTTCATGGCTTTTCATTTTCTAGATTGTTCTATTGTAAAAGATTGTTGGAAAATAGAGTGGTTACTCTAGTACACCCAAACGCCAACCTGGTTTCAAATAAAACATGTTGTGTTTGCTTTTACAGGCAAGAAAAACTCCGTCCTGCAGCACAAGGTGCAGCACGACCTCAATTCTGGTGAACTCAACTACCAGGAGACTGAGATCATCCAGCAGATAGTGCAGCATGACAGGGACATGGCCCACTGTGCCCACTTCTTCCAGAACGTCCCACCCCAGCCTCCTTCACCGACCCCGGTCATCTGGGCCCCCCTCATCCAGGCCCCTCTCCAGGCAGCAGCCGCCACCACCTCAGTAGCCATTGCCCTTACTCACCATCCCAACCTCCCAAAAACTTTTTTCAGGCCTCCGGTTTCTCTTCTGGGGTCCTTAAAGGATCCTCCAACCCGGTTTAAGAAGTTTCCAACTTTTGTTCCTCCATCCACAGCACCTGGGTCTGCTGGGGACTCTCCTTGTAGCACACCCTCTAAACTGCACTCTGGGTCGGACATGCCTTTGCTGGCCTCTTTTCGGGCCATGCACCCGATGTCAGGTACAGGGGCAACTGGCTCTAGCCAACAGGCCTCAGGTAGCCGAGACCAGCATGGACCTATTGTTACTGGCTCTGGGTCCAGTAGAGGAGGGGCCTCTGCCTTCCCATTTGGACCAAACGTGTCCTCTGGTTCAACTTCATCTAGTATGGCCCAGCTACACCCGCAGCCACAGCATCAACAGCCGTTTCGCTCCAACACCCCACCACTCTCAAACCTCTTCCGCCAAGGATCTACAGGTGGAAGCACAGGGTCAGGAATAAGTGGAGGAGCAGTTGGACCCTGTGCTGGAGCGACAGGGTGGTCTTCAGGTGGAGCTGTTGGCGGTTCTGTAGAAGGAGCAACAGGAGGAGACACTGCTTGGGCCGGAGAGGACTTTACAACAGGGCCACTCCCAGGGGCTCACTTTGGGTTGCGGAGAACTACTGGCAGATTTGTAGTAGAGATCTCAGGGGAATCATTTGGAGGGATACCTCAAGGATCAGTGGGTGCTGCTTGTGGCAAGTCAGCAGGGACAATAGGAGATAGAAGGAGATCACTCGTAAGAGCTTCTGGGGGATCAGTAGGAGGGTCTTCTGGGGAATCACTGGAAGTAGCAACCACTGGAGGTTCCCTGCGAAGAGCTTCTGGTGAATCAATGGGAGCAATTTCTTGGGCATCCACAGTAAGGGATACTGGGGGTGGACTTGCAGTGGTTTCAAGTGATTCAATTGGGAATCCTGCAGGGACATTGGGAAGGTCTTCTGGAGGAGCCACGAGTAGCCATATAGGAGGGGTTTTAAGTGGACCCGGGTTAGGGATGATAGGACATATTGGCCAAACAGCAGGAGGGGCATTTGGGAGCTATATAGGCGGGTCTACATCTTGTCCCATAGGAGGGACTTCTGCTGGAATAACAGCTGGACTTCATGGTTCCTCTCGTTGTCAGAGTCCTATATCTACCGGCTCGTCCAGCCCAATGCCTGGTCAGCCCCTCCAAAGCCAGCCCCCTCCCAAGCCTCCTCAGGTGGCTCCTTTGCAGCAGTTTGCAGGGGGAGGTAGGACTACCCCTGGCTTAAGTATCTTCCATTCCCCCCCACATGGCTCCCCATCCTCAAGCAGAGGACAGTACACCCAGCAGCCTGTCGAGGGCCCCCCATCTTCCCATGGCCATTTTAGCTTGGCAGGCCTCCATTCTGGCCTACGTCCGCACCAGTTGTCCCTTGAGAGGTCTGCACTGGCCTCCCTTTGCCAGTATGGTTCAGCCAACGCCTCCCCCTGCCTTACCCCTGTGGCGCCCAGCCCTACTATTCAAAGCCCAGTGGCTGGCAGAACTTTCCACTACAGCGACCCCTCAAGTGCCACAGGATCCCACAGTTCTCTACTCATGCCTCAATCTTCCCTCCCTTCACAGCCTCTAAGCCAGCCTCATGCAACGGGGAGAGATTCTCCGATGGGACGTTTTTCCGAGGACCTCAAGCTTTTATACAGTTCGCACCCGTCTCTGCCCCAGGAAGTGGCCCAGGCCCTAGGCCATGTTACTCTTCCCACTTCTGTGGAGCCTGGATATTACCCCTCACCCTTTTCCTCACCAACTCTTGTGCCCAAACCCCGTAGCTCAGTGCCAGGGCGCATGACTCCTCCAATCCAGATGTCTCCGGGGCACCCTCACCAGACTCTGTCCCCTGGGGCGTCCCCGGCCTTGCCTCTACGGAGGGCCTCTGCTGCCTACTCATCAGATCTAGAACCTCAAACTGTCCGCTCTAAACTCCCGTCCAATTTGTGAGGATTGATCACACCCTCCTGGGCTCCTCCAAACTGAAACGCACACAAACTATCTCCATGTGTGGCACTTTTTTTCTTTCGGTCTTCAAGACTTCACTGTGTTCCATCCTTTCATTTTGACAAGTTCTTAACACATTACTGCGATTTAAAAGACACTTTACCGGGTAACTTGGAGCTAATATATTTATTTTATGATTTGTCCTATTTTGTATTCATACATACTGTATATAGATAGAGATATATTTGAATGATAAGTTAATCAAGGGACTAGGAGGGTGTGAAAAAGATCTCAATTTAAAGGAATTTTGTTTATTGATATAACTATGCCAAATTCATCTGGTGATGTTAAGGGAGACAATTAAATGGACTACTCAATAATACTCTGTTTTTTTCTGCAGGAACCTATGCACTAATACCTGCATGTATAAATGCTTTTTGTGTGTTTCAAAAAAAAAGATCAACATTTTTAGCTAAGACGACATGCTTCGAGACAGACTCTTCTACCATCTCATACAGGATCACATATTGTTGATCCTTAAATGTATCTATTAGATTGTACTTATTTATCCTCTGTATCAACGTTTCAAAACATAACGAGAGATTTTTAGAAAACCCAAAAATACTTTTTCCTGTTGGATAATAATTAACCTCCTTTTGGCCTGTCAATCCTTGTTTTATACCATTTTATTGTAATTATAATAACTCAGTTTATGAAGCAGGAGGGAGAGGGGTTCAACGAGCTGCCCTCTATCTAAATATTAAGAACAGTATGTGACTGTCTTTCTGCAGAGTCCTTGAACATGTCCTAAGAAGCTCACTTTGTCTTCCAAGATCATGACGCTAATATGTGTCGAAAGCAAGATGTTTTCTTCGCAACTGTGAGTTATGTGAGTGTTTGTGAGAATGAGTGAGGGATACAGTCCGATGCAAGAACATTATCAAATGGATGTTTGCCTTTTTCACACAAAAACTATGACTTCCATTAACAACAGCTTGTTTGTTACATTGAGTAGCATTCAAAAACAATATTACCCCCCAAAACTAGACTTTGCAGGTCATACAATACGCAGAAAAACTTGTGGAAAGGGAAATATGCCTCTTAATTTTAATTTGTGCATTACTTCTTCCACTGTAGCTGCTATGTGATCAACATAAACATTATTCCTCATTGAAGGCCAGTGCTGAGTTTGAGATGTTGAATGTACACTTGCTATAATGAAGCTATCGTGGGTGCACTCAAGGCTTTGTGCCCCAAGGCTGGAAAGACTGTTCCCCAACTAAAAAAAGGTCATTGGTTTGATGCCTTTGACAGCCGTTTCCATCAGCAGCAATTGCTCCTGCCAAAGTGTCCTTTAGCAAGACACGGAGGTCGGCTTCCACTTCCACTCTTTACTCCATTAAGTGCTGTACCGCTGCTGTAACTCTGAGGGAAATTAAGGTTTAAGGAAGACTCTGAAAACCATTGGATTGGGTTTTGTCACAACTAATTATTGAAAGATTTAGACTTCAGTTTTGATGGTATTGCTGCAGGTATCTGTAAATTGATACAACATACTAAGAGCAAATCTAGGTTTAGCTGTTTGCTGAAAAACTAAAATGGGAATAAGTCCATCATATATTGATTTAGAATCTGGTAGCGCTGTCAAAGACCCTCACAGTGGTCGGAGAAACTGAGCGGTGGAGGGAGGTATCGATGAACTCCCAGAGGACAGGAGCAGTGATATGCTTCTACATGTTTGTTTGAAGCTCATCACAAGGAAAGACCCGGGTTCCACTCAGACAGCTGAGTCCCTAACTCAGTCACAGCCCTCAGCCACAGCAGCCTAATTTGACAAGACATGTTTGTAATCCCTTGACCCTCACAGGCTTCCATGGACTCACGCACAGAGGTGCACAGTGACCACGCTGCCCCCTCATTACAGTCCCTGTAATAAGGTAAAGCGACATGACATGACACGCTGCTGCACGTTTGCCGAACATGCACACAACAAGAGCACACAGTAACCACTCACGTAAAAATGAATTATAAACCCCTCTTTTTCCTATTTTATTAAATATATCTTAAAGTGAATTTGCTGTTATTATCCCTTTCTATATAATGTATGCTTTTTGTTGAAGCTGTGAATACTTGGGAGCTTTGGAGTACTTGGATATTTAAATAACTTCTACCTTTTTTCATTTATATTATGAATAAATATATATATAATTAATGAAATATATTTTTTGATCAAAACAACTTGCTCAAAGCAGCATCACTTTACTCATCAATGTCTACCCTTCCTTTTCTTTCAACTACAACATCTTCCATCTACAAGGAAATCCTACCTGCCACTGCTTTTAACAATGTTGATGTTGTTTGGATAACTGGCCAAATGTAGAAATTGTATTTATGTCGAGATTATTCCAGCACAAAAAGATAACATTTGACAATATATATATAATATACAACTATAGTATGTCCATTTATGATCTGGTCATGTTAACATGTAGAAGGCAGCAAGCTTTTAATTACATAACTGCTATAGAATTAGAACATATAAGTGAAATCAATAATTGATCAAAGCTTTCATTTGGATACCTGTGAGTATTTCATGGTCTTCATCACAGATGGATCAGGCCTTACTGATGAATTGAGCAGTATGTTTCCCGAATCTGTACACATTTTCAACATGAGAAAAAAACATCTAACTGAAAGGCTGGGAAACGCTGACAATGGCTTTGCTTCTCAAGCCTGGGACTCATAACAGAAAATCAAGACATTGAACTGTTCCACCTCTAAATTACAGATTGTCTGCACAGTCTGTAGGCGTTAAAACCTTGGTCTTCCTGTACCTGCTAGCCTCGCGCTGCACAAAAGCAAACAGATTGCTTTGCCTCAGCACATCTGGAAAAAAGTCAATATTTTCTTCACAATATGACATTATTAAAGCGTGGAGTTGGAGAACAGTTTGAAGCGTGTCTCCGAGTCACAGGTGAATGATGTAGTTGGACTTTTAGCCACAGGGAAGACCAGTAGACAGACTTTATGGGGTACCTGAGTGGAAGTGGATGTTTTTCCACTGTGCTATCGAACGGACGGATATGAGGAAAAGCTGTGTGTGTGTGTGTGTGTGTGTGTGTGTGTGTGTGTGTGTGTGTGTGTGTGTGTGTGTGTGTGTGTGTGTGTGTGTGTGTGTGTGTGTGTGTGTGTGTGTGTGTGTG